CATCCAGTCGGCTGGGTTTAACACAAAGAATTCTTGTGACTTGGAGGACTTTACAACGATCCCAAGAATATAGTTTGTCAATCGCAGATTTAAATGCTCGAAGAGCTACGGCGTCAGGCTACCGCTGTGTCGAATCCAATCCTCTCAACATAGGGCCAAGATCCTTTAAAGATAAAAAGACAGAGCATTTTTGGACATTTAAAGTGCACAGTAAAGTTAAATCCCTGAGGCTGATGCCCCTTATTTCTACCGATGCAGATTAACTTTAACTCTCGGTTTAACTTAATTTTTATCTTCTAGTTTTAAGAAAACTTGAAAAACCAGTTATTAGAAAAAGATAAAACGCAAGTTAAACCGAGATTAAAGTTAATCTGCATTGATAGAGATAATGGACATTATAGATTCGGATTACAGACGTTTAAATCGCTCGACGCTCGACGCTCGTGATTCATTATTGGTGCACTAATTCTTAATTCTCAATTCTTAAAGGATCGTCGACGCGCGGCGTAAGAACGACAGGATCTCTCGCGAGGTAGCAATTATTGGCCCGAGTATCGCGGGCGATATCTACGCCGTGCGATACTGCAGCAGCTGTTCGGCCCGGCCGGACATCTGCCGCCGACTATTTCATCTCTTTTTGGGCCCGCCTCGTCTCGGGACCGAAGGCCCCGAAGGTTTTGACGGTGGATCGCATCGACAATTTCGTCATCGAGCTCGATTCACTGGCTGTTAATCAACGCTAAAGGACACAGCTTCCTGCGGTATGTAACCCGTTCTTCACACGCAGTGTCTCTTACAATGCGGCTCCTCGCGGGAGTTCTTGTCTTCTTTTACGGAGACAAAGAAACGCGTCCTTGCGACAGAAGTTTCACGGCAAAGGAATTTTCGTCGAGCAGCTGCAACCTGTGGCTGGCCAACGTGGAAAGAGGCATATAGCAAAACAGGGACGGCTTGCGCGGCGACGGCACCCTTACGCCGATATCTCTCCTTCTTTATCATCCTTTTTCTCCGCCTTCCCTTCATTCGATGAATTACCGACTCTTATTCAGATATAATTATTTTTATTAGTTTATTCA